GCATTAAGTCGAGTTTTAAATCTTGACGCAAATGCAATAGTAGCTGAAGAATCCCTGCGCATCCACCATTTTTAATACCCGCTTGTCAATGTCTTATTATAATAAATGTTCAGCATGTGTGTGAATATTTTACCAAAAAACAATTTTGTTGCTGGTTCGACATTTGTAAATAGTGAAAGTAAAGCCACAATGGCAAATTTAAGCCATGATTGACGCATTGTCGGTAAAGTTAAATTCAATATACGACCGCTTAAACTAATCAAGATATGTATTCGGTGGTAGTTTTTTTTTTAACAGGAAAAACCACAGTAATTAAACTTCAAAAAAAGAACAATGAAATTTAAAGCGCACAAAATAATCAGATGTGACACTAGCTCGAGTTAATTAGTAGTAAACGTTTTAATTGAAGCGTGTGGTTTAGTCGGAAGTTGAAAATTTTTGCGTAGAATCCGTTTTAGTCTACCTGATCGTGATAAATTACAGCAAAGTGTATTTACAATTTCATGAGTACATGTAGAGTTTTGTGGTAAACTCCTTACGAAGTTGGACAGACAACAGTTTTCTCGACCTTAAAGTGACATAGATTAATAACAAGCTATTGGACAGTTATTAGCTTTGAATGGACTTGGGGTGGTTTTATGACGTTTTTAGTTTTGTTGTTGAGTTACAACAGCCTCTAAGCAAAAGATTTTCTCGATCAGTTTATTGCTTTTACAAAGGAGTCATTTATTTGAGCACTTGACAAGAAAATGAAAATCTCTAATGTTTAGATTATTAAATATAACTCCAAACCGTATTGTTTTTGCTGTGTAGGATGTGTGTTCTGTATACGAGAATCGTAATTGCAGTTCTATGTTTTACATTTGTATTCTATCGCAGCCATCCGCACAATGGAGCATATCCCTTATCCATCTAACTGAATAGAGGAAACATTACACTAATCAAAATAATACAACTCCACTTGACACCCCGGGCGCCCATTTGTATCACATGAATGATGAATTATACAAAGATAAGACAAAAATACGTGCAACGAAACCGAATGCGACCTTCTTGTGAGCCGGAGGATGAGTTACGTTGGTGTTACAGTTATGGGCCAACATAATCGACCTTAGTTCTACTAGGATCCAGTGCACAAAGCGTTGACTCTCCCTTTATTCAATTTGAAACCCTGCCAAGGTTTGATATTTTATTTTTATCAAAAATGGAACACCAGCGACGGTTAAAAAATAATTTAATCACTTCATTCTTTTGCAAATGCGATCGCTGAATTCAATCGAATATTGAATATTTGACCAGTTTTCCAACCGTTCATCTAATCAACGATTCCACCAATAAATTAACTCATTCACACACGGATCACTTCTTATCACACTCAGCTAAATTTCCTCATCTTCATAAAACATTAATCGCTTCATGGTTTTTATTTCCATTCAAAAATCGTGACAACTCGATCAAAACTAATCATGTGTTAGCGGAGCGACAAGTGAAACTTGTAAACTGTTATCTACGCATTCTCTGGATGAAATTCAGTTTTCAGCCTTGAGTTACTCGATTTTTCATTACTCTCCTCATACTGTTTCCATGCAATTTACTTCCGAACCAATTTAAATACAGTTGATAGTTGAAATACCGATGACTACTAAAAATTATGTATTGTATTTGTTCAGAAGTAAATTTCATCAGTGGCATCTCATTTTGAAATTCTAATTTGGACAATTTTTGTGCACGCTTTTGTTAGAAATTTGATGTAGAAGCGGTGAATGCATATCCATCACTAACCCAATTTTCAAGTTAAATGTGTACAAAATTTCATTTTCTTAGGATAAATTTAGACGATGTGACAGCTTTAAAATCATATTTATTTTCATCATCCTCGTACAAATTTGTCGCAGGATTTTCCTGCTTATATATAAATAAATATTTGGCAGGTTTTTAAATATTTTTTTCAATGTAAAAATAAACTTATTATTTCGGCTAATATTTTGATTGATTTAATATCAATATCTCAGTTGTCGCTTTTCGGCCAACACGAATAGTAATTTCTTTAAATAATAAACATCCTTCACGCGAACCAATAATACGACCCCTTTTCTAAAGCAAGTAAATTATTGCTCATATACACACCCTAAGCATTTTAATACAAACAAGGAACTTGAACTTGGAAATATGCTACGCATAAATTAATTATTGCTTTATTGAAGCCCTTTGTAAATATTAGTAGCTCGTCGTTTCCTCACAAATCGATATAAAATTTCATTTATATTCTTTCAAATATATAAAGAAACCTAAAAATTTTAAATTTGTTTTGCAAATTCTTGCCTTTGAGTATCAGTCCTCTAAACATTTTAACGAAGCATTAATTTAATGTATAATAATAACAATAAAAGTGCCATGAAAAATAAAACAAAACCTTCAACACTTAATGTTCTCCTCGGCATTTTGCACATTCAAGAGCAATCATCATTTATGAGTCATTCGAAAATAATCAAAATTTATACGCTCTTCCACTTTTTTTAGCCAGAGTTATAAAATTATTATTCATATACAGACCTCGTCCCTTGACAGCAATATTCATCTTCTTAAGACATCAAAAAAAAGGTTTTTACGCAAATTACACTCACCAACCAAAATTAGATCTTTCTGTCACCTTACAGAAATCGCATTTTAAAAATAATATAGACTAATAGAACAAACAAAAGTTGCGAAAATTAAAAGCAATCAAATAATAACAACTGAATAATTTATTAACAGTGAATAATTTGTTCAAATGCCATGTTTTCTTTTCTCTCACATGATCTTTACGTTGTTTAAATTACCAGAAAAATAAAACAAAAAGTTAAACAGAGTTTTAACTGTTACGATATTTGTTGTACCATAAAAGCTCTGTGACGTAGATGTAGCTCTATATGTGACTACAAAAATAGTAAAAATTTTCAAAAATCAAATTGAAAAAACTTGTTTCAACAATCCAATCATGTGTAAATGTATTGCTTTATGTGTATAAACGAACAATATTTTTCGCTATACAAAACCGTTAATTGCGGTTATATTCATTAGATTTTATTGTGTCTTGATACCGCTATTGTATTTGATGTCGAAGACAGACAAACAGTTTTATTAGGTTGAATAGTTTTGAAAAGTTTTGTTTTTTTTTCTAATGAAAACAAAACACTTCCTGTACAATTTACATTTTAATTATTGTGCTTTAAAAGAGGCATAAAAATAATACGATTACAACGTTTTAATATGAAAACAAAGAATAACTATACCCCTTCTTTCTGATGAGTTACAAACAGTAGAAAGATTTTTATCAAATTGTGGGTATTGTGATCAATGTCTGAAATTATTTTTCCAATTATATTCTTCATTTCAAGTAAACAATCTTGAATGAAGCTCAGAAATATCTCATATTCGGTACTGATAAAAGATTGTGCCATTAGATCACCCGCCCCATTATAAAAAAAGTGATGGATACGAAAGCTGGAAATTGTCGATAATTTCGTTACGTTAGCAAAATTTTCATGTCATAATGAAAACTTGTAGAGGTACAAGAAAACTGCTTATTTTTTTACAAGTAACTTATTTTAAATTCGAATTCACAAACCTTTTGAAATTAATTAGGTTGAAAAAGTTATTTATCCTGAGAAGATTACAAAAATCGAGTATAAATTTTTCTAATGGTGAAAAAATGTAAATGTTTCACCGCAATAATATAAAAGTAGTGATAAAAGTAAAAGAGAAAAGAAGATACTGGGTTGTAATTAGTAGATTAAGGATTTTAAGCTCCTTGTCGAGGGCTGTGCAATCCAATAATCACTTTTTACCGCAAGCTCCTTTCCACGCTCCGTTGACCACTTCTCATTGCACTCGAACTGCATTTAAAAAGAGAAAATAATCCAGGATTCAATACTTCTGAACTAAACTTTCCTCGATATGAAATTATATTTCATTCTAATTGTTCGACATTCAATTTATGTTAGCTTCACATGCAATAAAGCGAACTGAAAAACAAGCTTTTTTCTCTTGTTTCAAAATTTAATCAAATGAACATGTTTGTTGAAAAAAGCGACAATTTATTCACACTAGTTTATCACCGCGTTTTGGTTATAGCCGAGTTTAAATCACGCCCAAAATATTCCAACTATTCTACCGAAATATATCATTATATAAGCAGGACCAAATAAAAAGCTTTCGCTATCGAAACTGGGCCACACTAAACCCATACTGCGATTTACAACGCCGTACGTTATTTCTTTCAACCATTTTATAAATCATGAACGATTTTTGACCACCTGTTCCCCTTTTCGACAGCTTGTGCACGAACCTTGCCAAAAATCTAAACGACGGAAACTTTTAATTGCGCATTAAAATGAATGCATCGAATATCTTTAAGAAAATTCTAAAGACACGCAAATTCGCAATAAAAATTTAATAAATGTCATCACGTCACAACAAAATCTTTTCGGAAATCCACACTACTCATGTGTTTGTACACAAGCGGCGATAGTGTCATATAACATTATATTATCATAATTTCCGAGACCTAGAACCGCCTATTAGATAGTCATCAATCGTTTTCGTCCTTACCCAAAGCTTGTCAGGTTGATGTGGGTCTAGTGGACGACAAAGCACAGTTAAACTTGTCTAAGACAACCTTAAGACGTTAGGTCGTTTATTTGTTCTTTATAAATGATTTTCTTGTAATGCTTATTTGTTACATTCTGACAAAGATTAAAACTATTTTAATTGTGTCATCATGATGCGTGCAATAAGTCAAACAAGATAACGGTAAATATTCGCCTTCAGTTAAACATTTTTAAAATGAAAATCACGTGCTAACAAATCCGTTATTAAATCAGATCGATTGAAGTATCCTTTTATTTACAATCGTCTTTTGTGTGGCAACACGTTTTAAATCGGATTACAATTGAACCGTAAAAAATGTAATCGTCAATTTTAACAAGCAAAAGATTTTTCTAAAATTGTTTTCGTTTCAGGGTTGGCGAGAACGGCGAATGGAATGTGATAGATGAAATTCTTACTCCGAACAACGAGAGCAGTTACCAAGTTACAAGCTTGCACCCTTACACAGTGTACAGTTTCAGGGTGGTAGCAGTGAATGCGATGGGGGCCAGTCAGCCAAGCAAAGAGTCCTATTACATGGTTACACTTCGAGAGGGTAAGCAAAAGCAGGAATTACCCTCGGCTGCTTTTATAACGAGCACCAAGAATGTGTCGAGATCCTCCCAAAGTGTTCATTTCTACCTTAACTCCTCCACTTTAACAAACAACATTGCACTATAAATCATAAAATCTCACAAAAACAACCTAATTACATAATTTTTCCGAATTTTCTTTTGCTAACAGATAAATATATCTCTCCAGGACGGCCCACTTAAAAATCCTGAAAAATTCGCGCTAAACCACTGGGAAAGTTAAGTTCAATAGCTCTTTGTTAATTATTCCGCCTAATTACTAAACATAATGGACGAAAACGCTTCATAAAAAATCCCTTTTAATTATCCCGAATTATTGGGTTCGCCCCTTAAACAAGCCACCTTGCTTCGGTATTTTATGGTTCGACTAATGTTAGAAAATGGAGTCTTAGGGTCGAATTCCTAAACAAGTCATTACAACTCTACTATGTTGTCATTAAGGATATCCTAAACCTAAAGTTGACCTCCGTAAAGATTACCATTTATGGCTATAGCTTTTACTAAATTAAATAAATCCTCTCATGCACACATTTACAAGATGGACATAAATCGATAAAGAGCTTTTACTTAATTACAGTACATATTAAAATAATATTTTATTGCAATTATACAAAATCTCGTGTAATTTAAATAAAATATCGTCTTGAGAAATGACGTACACTAGAGTAAATTAACTCGTGACACTTTTTCTAAAAATGAAAATCTCGAAAACGTTTGATAAAAATATATATTTTTAAGAAGAATAAAATTACTCTCTTCTAACAACGAGTATAGAAACACGATGACGTGTTTAAAAATTGCAATCGATTTTCTTACATAAGTACACGTAGTATTTCTAATAATAGAAAGTACTTTAGAAATCTCATCCCGCGTCCCTATTAAAATTATACGTATAATTTATAGACACACACATCATTTCAAACCACTTTTGAATGTGGGTCGTATCAAATTAATATTTAAAATCACGTCAAAGTATTTTTCGAATACGTTAAAACGAATAAATTTTTAATGTAAACGCCAATCAAAGATAAATTGATACAAAACACTTCACACAGATAAAACTCTTTGCTTTGTGTTTTATTTCAATTAATTGAACCCGAATCGATTGCCAAAATTAAATAAAAGTTTTCAATTTGAAAACATGACATTTTTAGATCACGTTTTATTGTGATAAAGGCACGGTAGTCGGATGTAGTCACCTTAAAAACCCGGCCCGTCAAAGACCAGAATCTCCCAAAACTAGTTTCAACTAAATTCAATTGGGTCTTTGTCAGATTGTAAAAGCTTTGAAAACAAAACAAATAGCAGCACAATTCAACGCTAAACGACTGTAGTCCAATGGGATTATCAGAATCATCTGATAATTTAAAATTTGAACACGTCTTCTTCGAAAAAAATGAGAGGATGAAACAAATTGCTATTCCAGAGTATCACCCTCTAACTAAAGTAAATCCCAATCACGGACTACATATTTTAAAACATATTTTTAAAAGTTAGTCACTCACATTATTGAAAAATATTCTTATATTCGACATTTTCCCTTTAACATTCCCGACCTTTCGATGAAACACTCCAAATACACCACCAACAGTCGGTTAAGACAAGCGGAAAACGAAAAACTGTCAGCTCCTTTGGAAGCATCGGTAGGCCATAGTGTTGTTCCTCACCCAACTGACAAGTTTGCATTTCATTATTTTTACTCAGTTTGTGTATATTATCGAACTTATTACATCGCAACGAAATTGCAATTTTTACTTTGTATGAAGAAACAGAAATCTCATTTGAGGCCTTGTAAGAAAGATGGGGCAGTTTGAATCGAGAATGTTGATTTACTCTACAATATAATTTCCGCGCTTTACTACCAACCTATGATGTTAAACCGGGCCCAGACACGTATACGAGTGTAAACACAAGAAAATGGCCGTGCTACATTGTGTAGAATAAAATACGTTGTAACCTTTTTCAGATAAGACACTGAAGCTTACTTCAATTCTAAATTTGCTTCACCTATTTTCAATAGTGAATCAGATAGGCGTGCTTCCGGCAATCAGGAGTCTACAACTAGTACATTCCGTCACAAAAAAGACAATTTCATCGATATTCAGACTCGCTTTATACTTGCCTTTATATCGTAAAAGCGAACCCGGCTGCGTTGGCCTTCAAATCAAATATATCGGTAAATTTACCACCAAGCGAGGGTATATTTTTAAACCGAAAAAGAGATGAGTTTTTAGATTTTAGCGCGACTTCAGGCCTCTTTACATATTTATCAGTATAAAAAATGATTCCTACCGACTGCGACACATAGTCAAATTTTCAATTTTCTAATCAACAGTTTATTGGGTTGTGTTAATAATGAGGAACAAAAGATTTCATCAGCATCATTTTCGGAATCATCGCTGCTATCATTCATATGTAATGCGTTGCGAATTTTCGTCGTAAATGGTTATTGGTTTTTGGCTAAATAATCTCAGCATTAGTTGGTTTTAAAGATGCAAATTAAAAGAAATAGCGAAAGAGTTTCGGTATCTAGTTTTGGTCGTCATAGAGTCTAATATATGGATATGTTTATAGAACCTGGAAACAATCCATTTTCCGAAATATCCGTGTTATTGACCGTGGAATGTCTGTAATAGTGTAGGCTAAACAAAGGGATAGCGTATCTGAGTGAGACTGATTAGTGGTGAAATGGTTTTGTATAAGAGAGTACGTGTTGTGGTGAATATTTATAAGTCGATTCGGAAGTAGGTAGATTATGCAGAAACGACAAAGCATATGGTAGTTATGAGGCATGTGACAGGAATCAGGCTTTGGTGATGCTATAGTGAGTATAGTGTGACGAGTCAGCGGTGGTCGTTGATCGTGGTTTCGTAACCGTTAGTGGAATGGTGGAATGCTCGATTGGCATTGTGCTGGAGTTTAGCGTCGGCCATGACATGTATCGATTGAGCCCTATCCCTAAATATCAATAAAATCGGCAGTTTGAAAAAAGCGATCTACATTTTATTACTAACTTTTCCCTCGGTTTAACATCATTACTTCCCTCGGATGCATTAAATCGTATTATGAAAAACGAACTCGTAAAAGTTTGGCCGTGTCGGCGGTTATATTTAGGGCGGGCTCGTCCATTTTTTATTGTCTTTATAAAGTTGTCGGAAATGAATACGCACCATAACGCGGTAACGTGAGGCGATAACAGCGCCGCTGGTCACTGGCGGCTTTTGGGGGATGCGGGATGCAAAAAGTGACCGCACATTATCCCGACTTTATTTTACTTGCCGAAAACGAACAAAGTTCTGTCTCGTCCAAGAAACCCGATCTAAGTGATCGGATCGGATTAAAGGCGTGTCGAAAAACGCTTTTGAAGTGATCCTTTTGAACAAGATCCCAAGTAACACTATCAAACCATTCGATGATAAAATGAACTCTTTGTAACCACGATTTCATCTCTAATCTATGATCATGTAACTTGCTATCCGTGGACGAAAAGTCGAAAACCATCAACTCCTCCTAAACATCCGGCAATCGAGAAGTTGGACTATACAACACCCGAGCGACTTCTGAATCGACGCAATTAGAATCGGATCAGACATCTGGGGCCTGAAGAAACCGACCAGACGAAAATGTATCGTGAACGCGAAGCTATTTCGACGGACCTCATCCACACCAGAATACAACCTATTACGTTTTTCCGCTCTTCTACGTTCTGCGTGTCTGTCCGGGTCTCGCGTGTATTCCTACTAAATATTTCCCCAGTTAATCTAATTTTAAACAACGCTCTTTTTAACCCGTGCCACAATTGATTTATTTTATGGATCGACGGATCTTTAATTTCCTCACAGTACACCTATCGATTATATCAACATACATGGAGAGAACATTCGTCACAAAATTCATGTTTTCTACCAAAACAATGAACTCGATTTAAACCACCACTTCCGAACAACGTACCACTGTTGCAAATACCAACGCGAATAAACACAATTTTATTAAACTCACAAAATGAGACGAAAAATTCTACATTGATCCCACATAATTCCATTATTTTTTATTTCACGGTAATAGGTATTCATGAGGATTATTTCTCTTTCTTTTTGTGCATTCAACAAAAAACATACATGCTGGAATATCTTTCATACTAAAATAAATTGAAATTTATCATCCTCAGTCTCAATCATGCAGATTAGGGGCCACAAGGACCATCAGAAACATCTTTCAACAACAACAAAAAATTGACAATTTTATTTCTATTTATTTACTCCAGATAATTTATCATACACCAAGCACAATCAACCGAGAAAAAATAAATTACTTCATTTTCTAAACGAGACTATCGATCGATCTTTCTTCGTTCTTAGGCCACCGGCACCGTTATAATCACTGAATTGGTATTTGTAGTCTTAAGACAATTCGTATTATCTAAAATTTTCGTAAGTCTCCTGATTCGCAGTAAGCTTTGGATTTGTTTTCGTCGCTTTTGCTACAAAATTTCCTAATAAAATTCCAACTCTTCCCAAATGACTAATTATTTTAACAACCACAAATATCAACTTCAAACTTTGCAGCTAAAATAAACTTCTATTGACGAAAAATATCTACTCTACACATTGAAGTTAAGACTTGAATAAATTTAATTTATTTAATGTACACCTGACTTAAAACCATAATTCATAAAAGACGAGAAGAGAAATTTGAACCCACAATCTTAGCAGTGTGTGTTCGCACGTTTTTCTGCATTAACACGAAGTTTTATCTCCAATAACTTCCAGGAAAACCACTAAAGGGAGCTTTAAGATCTTTTATATCTTCGTCTGTCGCAGAACTCTTAACACGTATCGTCACTAAATCTGTGAGAGCCTCCAAAAGAATTCCTATGTGATACATAAGACATGAACAAATCGAATTTTTGCTTTTTCCGTAATTGAATTCTAACTAATTAAATCAATACACTTTTCTTTCACCTTACCGAAATAACTTTAATCTCGTAATACGTATCTTCAAATAATATTTTGTCACTGTGATGTGCCTGATGTCAATTAAAGCTTTGATACTCCCGATAAATATTTGCCTCGGATTGACGCGAGTGACTATTGAAAAATTATCAATCCATAAATCAATTAATCAAATCAGACGCCTTAGTTAAGTCACTCAATTAACTTGATTACACTAGTTAATTACTTAATCGAACGTGTACTATTTCCGTTTGCAAGTTCGCTCGTTTGAACTGCATTTGTTCCCACACAGGGCAGGTGGCCCACATCTCGGTAACACGCTTTTAAAATCCAATTTTTATGTTTACAATTATCCACCTGCATTCTGATTAAATACATTTTAATGTCGCTAAATTCATTAATTTTTAGAATGTCATAATTAAACTTTTTCGATTTGTAGAAAAAAGGTGTGTAAAAATGTGAGAATATCTAATATTGAATTGAATTTTTTATATACTACACGAAATAAATATTTATAATTGGAAATTGGTTGAATATGAAAAATTCCGAGCTTGGTATTGTGTTTGATGAAATCGCGATGGTTCGATTAGCGCAAGCGAGGGTAAAGGTTAATGAAAGCATCCCAGGTAGGCACGTTGTCGAGAGGGATTTGATACTATAGGGGGTAAGTATCGAGGGGGTGGCAACGATGGCATGCAAAACCGCCGTCGCACTGTCGTGTTTTCGCTCCGGATTAGCGCGGAGAGCGAGTGTAGCCCACATTTGCAGATGTAGCTTAGTTAAACGGCGAAACGGAACAATTAACGCTAGTTTGTATTTACGTTTGCGGTGCATGTGTGTGCGATGTATATGTTTAAGTTGCAGTGGAGGGAGATCTCACGGCATCCCGACGCCTGAAGGTTTGCCGTTCGTGTATTCACACCCGGTTTTATGATTATTAGTCGAAAGCTGCTGCCCTATTCAAAGCAATTTATTTTTACCAGATACGAACTTGTTTCCTAATCCTCCCCCTCGAATGCATCAAATCAGACTGCACTTTTTTCCGAGACGAACAAAGCTATAACTGCGATTTATTCCAAAATTTCGCTTCATTTCACTCAAAAAAACGCAAAACTCTCATTAGCGAAACGTACCTAATAAAACATGGCGACAATGGCGATGCCGTTCCGATCCATTATCTCCGCGATTGCATTAAATCTGTTTAGGGGACTACTCAAATACTCTAAAACACAAATATTTCAACTTACAATCGTCAACTCTCCGACCAAGTTTTATATAACCAAGAGATAGGTATTTTATGAAATTAAATTAAAGCACTGAATTGCTTTAATTCTGTAGGAGCTCTCAAGTAACTAGGTATATTTAGAATCCTTACATAATAAAATTAATATCAAAATGACTGATATGAACAAGCAAAAATCGATACTCGCATTTTAAGTACTCATATAATATTAAAATACTGTTTTAATTTAAATATAATGCTATAGGTAAATATGCTAAAAAGTTGAAAAATAGCCAAAATTGGAACTGCCTTTTGTGACGTCAACGATGCGAAAAGCGGAAATCAAAAAATATCATGAAAACGCGTTTGATAGTCAGTCTGATGAAACTAGTTTTTATATGGTTTTAATTGCACACGCTCCCCAATAATAAAATGAAAATCTTTGATTAATGCTGCAACATTGATAGTTATTTCTTATTTAAACTAATCAAAGACGTCATTTTTGTTTTTCATTGCTGACTTCACACAAACGGTCGAGCTTAGTTCATTTCTTTAAATTGAAACTAGTTTTAGGTGTGAATAATTCAGTCTCTTTTATTATCACGAATTTACGGAAATAACTTTTATCACGTCTAACGTAGTATTCGGAAAATTAATAGCCAAGATATAGTGCATCGAAACCTAACCGAGTTAATTAACTACAAGCTGCGCCATCTGTCGTATTTCTTTCCAATTCTTAAGTTCAACATTCAACAACAACTACATGCATCACCTTTGCGTTATTGGCTTCTTGGATAAACATATTTCGCGCCCAAACGAAAATTCTTAATTCGCCTCATAAATCACAAAAAAGTGTTCTACGAAAGAAACATGGGCCTTAGACACTCATTAAGGAGAATCACTATTGAGATAATTTCAGACGTTACGTGACCAGAATTTCACGGTCGTGGTCTTTCTTAATTTTCAAAGATAAGAAACTTATTTTAAAAATAGTTATGGTGGTTGTAAGAAATTTAACAGCGTAAAATATTCTCAATTGAGCGTTTAATAATGATGAGGTTGTTAAATACTAATTAATTTTCGAGATGATTGACTGGTTACAGAGTGAGGTGAAAACAGGTTAATGTCAATATTAGTACATTCTAAATTGATTTATTCAATCTAGATGATCTTTATATGTTGCATGTTTCATTATTTTGTTAGCTACTAAATGAAACGGTTCAATTTTTAGAAAAAAACTGAAACGCACAAAATCAATGAGTGCAATTAATGCGAGTGACAGTTAAAATAAAAAAGTAACTCGACCGGTACAAAGCCTTTTACTTTGGTATGACTTAACTACAACTGTTCAACACAGCTCTTCAATTTCAGCATCAAGGACAGAAAGCTCATCATTTTTTAAAAACTACACCGAAGTATAAGACATTTGGAATTCCATCGTACCTTTGTAGAAATGCACTTTAGCATTTTTGGCTGAATAAGTTTTAAAGTCTACAATTTACTCTTAAAATATGTAATAGAGGTATACTTAGGAGAAACCCCGAAAATGTTTATTCTACAAATCTGCTCTTTATAAAGGGCAGAATGCTGATGTTTGTTTAAGACGTCGATTTTGAAATGCGTATCGGATACTTATCCTTTTTGTTGAGTCGAACGCTGATGCAACATTTTGTGTGAATTGTTTGAAAGTTGAAAATCTATGGGTCGAGTCTTTACCTTACGTTGTCAATACATTATTGGTGTTGGATATGCGCCATTATGCTTAAGTTGTAGCAGTTGTCTGGGATGTAACAAAGTTTCGTAAAGTATGTTTGTTGCAGCTCCCGCGGGAAAACCGACGATCACAACTGCGCATAATACCTCGTCGACAGCATTACACATCAGCTGGCGACCTCCTCACCATGAGACCATCCACGGCGAATTTTTGGGCTACCGTATAGCATATCGGCCGAGGGACAGAGGAGATGAAGCTTTCAAAGAGATATACATCCGGGACCCGAATGTAGAGGTACGCATTGTTTGAAATAAATAAACGAAAGAAATTGGGCAAATACTTCGGAGAACTTTCAGCAGAGTGCTCGATTTCGAACCCATGGGAAATCACAGAAACTCCGCTAAACCTCTTAATCCAATGACCTGTCCATTAATAGGCCGTCGCAGGCACCGCTTCAGCACACCGCCCGTATTAGCAACCATATACCCGTTTCGTCCTCAATTGCATTTGCCGTTTTTAATTAAGCCCTGTCTCTGACACACTTTAAACCGTATAACTTACAAAACGGACATTCCACCACTCCTACACTAACGATTTTTAAACAAAATTGATTTTATTGCCACACCAACAAGCTTAATCCAACAAAAAAAATATACCCTCGACAAGAGGCAATTCCGAAATGCCATCTACAACTCGCCATAAAAGACAGACTCTACTGGTAACAATGGCAATAGTTAAATGCAAACATAAACTATTATATTAGCCATGCTCCTCATTTATGATTCCATAAAAGAAAAGAAAAAACCATTTTTGTTAATATTCATAGATCTTGAAACCTTTATTTTTATTTATGTACTTGGAATAACAGAAATTTGTCCAAACCTAATTATCTTTCTGTAGACTTGTCGGTAAATATAATTAGGAAAAACTTCGCAAAAAGTTAAAACAAAACAGCGATAATTTTAATTTCATCTGAAAAGCAAATTAAATGAATTCAAATGATTGGGATTAACTATAAGAGTCTGCACCAGAAGGGAGAAACGCCTTGACAAACATCAATGTTTGTCTCCCTAATATACCCCCTTAGAATTTCGTAAATGGACGCCTCTGATGTCAGTTTACTATAAACAGATAGATAATGTATATACTTGCTTGTATGACGGGTTGCATAGCCTTGCAAAAATATATTTTTTAATAAAACATGATTTTCATCACATCTTTGGGTAATTTTACGACCGTTTCGCAATGTTTACAATATCAATGTCGTAACAACAATAAAGTTTGGGTTTTAACACCGATGAGTAAATAATTGAATGTTCCATTACTTATTAAAGTTTCAATCACTTAAGAACACTGGTTTTACATTTTCCACTTAAAACACTAAATTAAAATGTGAATGCATATTTAAAAGAGGAATTTATAAAATTGACTGTCGCGAGACCAAGAAAATACTTTTTAACGAGCTCCGTTTACCTACTACGATATTCGTATTTATAAAAAAACATTTATTTAACATGAACAAAAATGAAAAACTAAAATTGTTTGGCTTCACTAACTTGATTTACTGTATCTACTCCAAAAATTAAAAAAATTCTTTGGCAGATATTAATATGATGTTTTACAAATTGGAATTCCGATCAGTTTTAAAACTGAAACTGTTAAAAACAGAATTTTACAAAAAAATATTGGAGTACCGTAAATGCAGTCGATTTATTAGATTGTTATAAATTGATACTACAGCTTTTAATAAACTGGGTGATGATACGATTCCATGATTTAATTCCATTATGAAGTAATTTCGTTGTAAATGGTATAACATAACCATAATACCATTATTATGTATGTATTATGCACCATCACTGTTAACACTATTTTTGACAATGACAATCACATTTTCATTTAATGAAATTGTGCATTTTAATCAAAATCAAATTTCGAAACTGTTAAGCAAAATTCGGTCATACGAATAAAATAAAGCATTGCTAATTAGCGAATTTAGTAAAAAAAAGTTATTTATAATAACTTATTTCGACTGTATTCCATTGGAGAATTCGAAAGGTTCAAAAAGATTTTTATTTTTAAGTTTAATTCAAAATCAGATGCGCTAAATGGGTTGTCGCAAGTTACAAAATTACAAATTGGTGACAGTACTTGCTGAAATCTGAAAACTTGTTAAGTATTTTTATGTTGCGTTCGGAATAAATGCGTCAGCAATGAAGCCACCTCTGCAGTTATCGGAGAGTGGAAGAAAAGATGATTTAATTCTTGCTTATTATTGCTTATATTGATTCTGCGTGACGGTGGAGTTTTTCATTTCGGGCCCAGTATCAGAAAACGTGACATTTTTACGTTTTTGTTATTTTTACGAAGTTTATGTATTAGCAAAAAGAAGGTGTCAAGAGAGGGAATGATTTGTTTGAACTGTGGTGCGTTATTGACTGGCTGTATTTAGTATTTGTTATATATTAAACGTTCTTCGTGACAAGTAGGGGCAGACCAGACCAGACCGACGTAAATTTCAGCAGGCTACACAGCAACCACAAACGTGACACATGATCTGTGATAGGTATCGCAATTGTAGCGGTGACACGGCAATGCGACGTGCTGATTTAATGTGAGGGCGCGTGGGGTTGCGGCACGCGGTTTTAACAAACTTAATGGAGTAGTAGAGATTCGGCCGTAAACTAGCTATAAAGACGATCACATTCATTACAATTTCCTAACATGAATTAGCGGTGGGTGTGCACCACTCCTGCGATTCTGCCAATACGGGTGGGTATTTCCTTGTGGACCGCTTAAGCACGCCGTAATCGCACACGTGTTTATTTGGGTCGGGTCGCCGGCTTGGGACTCATTCCTCTATATTATCTCTTATTGTTCCAGAGTCACACTATACAAAATTTGGAGACCTACACCCAGTATCTGGTTTCGCTCCAGGTATTCAACCCCGAAGGACCCGGGCCCAATACTACAGTCTTGGTCATGACCGACGAAGGAGGTACGCCAGTTTTGCTCTAAATCGTAAATGTAAAAGCAATTCTAATCATAGCCTTTCGCTACGACAAGTCTATATTTAAATTTCACAATTCTTGCTTTTCTTTTCATTTGGTTTATTCAAGTTAGAATCTTCCTCGAGCTGTTGTTTTTTCGGTATGGTCATATAGAGTCGCTTATTCAGCTCGAGTCGGTAATCCCCGGTTGCCGGACTTCCACTAAAGCTTCTGGGATATAATTTGCAGAATTGCCGGTTTCATATGGTCCTGGATCTTCTTTTGCCCTCAAGTCTTCCGAATTCCGATCATTCGATCAGTACGATTGATTAGGGGGGATCCCCAGACGGTCTACACGTTCATTATTTATCCTTGTCCTTCTAACCCTCAGTAAACACGCAAGAAATTCTTTAATTTATTGTCGTTTTCTCGTCACACACGCGAAATTAGAGTCTGGAATGGGTCTAAGAGAGTGAACTCTTGAAAGTTTTGCACCATGTGCTCAATCCGCTCCAAATGAATCAATACCCCAGACCCTAAGTAAGCTCTCAGGCTTTCAACTAGCGGCGCTTGCGCTCCCTTATTGGTCCCTATAGTGATGTGTCCCTCATATTATGATCGCAAAATTCGGCTCTGGTACGAAAACAATACAAGTTTGATAGTCTGGTTGGTTGGCAGTCTTTTGTTCTTCGGAACAAAGGATTTGGAGTAGCAGGTGGTAGAGCGAGTGGCGAGTAATGAGGGCAGTTGCAACCTGCAAAACATGTGACTGTGCGATGCTGCAGGAAGCGTGTAGCTGTGTAGATGAGTACAATTTGGTTTTGTTTTGCCGCTGTACTCTGTAGGCTGCAGGATGAACAGCGCGCAGAACGTGAACTTCCCTCTCCAATGTGAGCGTGCGCTTCATGGTGCTGCGATCGTTGCCTAACACTCCGGTCCCCCGGTCATGTCGGTCTCTCGCCCTTAGCTCCTCTCTCATCCCCGCTCGTTGTTTGCCGTGCTGTCACTGTTCTGGGTGGTGCTGGTTCTTGCGAATTTCGGATTCTACCATCACGAAATGATCCGTTCAATGCAGAACTGTCGCTGTTTCGGTTTCGTCTCGTTTGTAAACATGTCGAGCTGCAATGGAAACTTTACAACGGCCTATTAGCGCAATTAATACTTTTCGAGTGAAGGCTTCATTGTGTTAGAATGGGTCATGTTGTTTATTTACTGGTCGCGATTTCCGGAATCGTCGCCGCTGACTCTACCACTACGGAATATAAACAAGACAAAGAAGGTACTCGACTGATCCTCTTTTGTTTATCTTTAATCTGTCTAACTTTCAATTTTACAAGCATAACCTGTACTTATCTTGACACACCTACTGTTTCCAGTGCCTAGCAAGCCGCGAGATCTTACTGTTTTGGAAGTTTCCTCTAATACCATCATGCTCAGATGGACCCAACCTGAAAAACCCAATGGGGCCATAGAAGGATACAGAGTTTATTACATGTATAACAACTATACGTCAGTTGACATGAACAGAGATAGAATTAAACCTGTATCGCCTTATATCACATACAACTTAACCAACTTAAGTGAGTTGTTTCATTTAACTTTACTCAAAAAACTGATGTCGATTTTCAGAACCATATACTGAATACAAAATATGGGTTAAGGCATTTACCAGGAACCACGAGGGAGAACCATCTGATCCTATATTCAATACAACTGATATCAGCGGGCCAAGCTCACCAAAATTATTAAACCTAACTTGCCAAACCCAAGATACGATATTTTTCCAGTGGGCCAGACCAGAACATTTTTATTACTCTATTGATTATTATTATATTTATATTTATTTAAATGATCGCATTTGGAAGAACATCTCTATTGAAAGCTCCAAGGAGCATCTAGAAACCTCGGTAAGTTATGATTCAATTCACTTATATCATTCAAACTCAACATTTTTTATCTCCGATATTGCGTCGTCAAATTGTAATTAGTGTTTCCATAATAATTAGATGTTACAATATAAAAAAGTAATATATAAAAAGTTATTTTTTGTCTCCGACTGTTGCAAATGTTTGTTTACCAAATCCGAATTTGTTCGTATAAAAATAAGGAAATCAATTTACATCACGCATTAATAAACGCATCCTTCTTTGATAATCTATGGTAATCTATTATTATCAATAAATTGCGTTGTGTCAGTGTAAATAACTATGAAAAAATACAAGTCGATAAATATTTCAAGTGCACTTGTTTCAAAAAACAAATTTGACTCTGTTATTGTTTAGAACATTTATGTTCTATTCCGTTGATTTAACATCTTATTCTAATTAGAATTTATAATGTAGTGCCATACTTTGACAAGCGAAAGCAAATAAATGCGCCGCAGCTTACTGAAGTGTAGAGACAAAAGCAAAATAAACAAAAGTAACTCTTTAAATTTTTTTCATTTGCCACCAAAAAATCTTGTCGATTTGAAGTCGTAACCTAAATGAAGCTCACTGACTTGTACGTGCGAATGAGTCACAAACTTGACCTTCTTTTTCAAGCAAAAATTACCATCAGAATCGTACTTGTGTTTATTTTGGAGCGCCGGTGATAAAAACCAGACTCGTACGTCAAAGGAGTTTTATTCTGAATTTTTGATTAATAAAGGAAGGAAAAAATTACTTGGATTCATTGTTTCTTAGAAAAATAAACAAAAGTTTGTTTGAATAAGCAACGTATACACAGTGAGGTCATTACCCCTCCCATTCATAAAACACACTTACTAGCAACAGTTGAAAAAAAATTCGAAATTTAATGTATGATTTTATGAGCTTTAAGTGTCTACAGGCCACAGTTTGACTTTTTGAAAATTGTAGTACTCTGTGGAGAACGTAACAACGAACACCGAGTACCAAGTCCAGGTGCAGGCTTCTACGAGGAGCAACCGTACTAAGAGGATAGTCAGGGGTCCTTTATCCGAGCCCAAGACCGTTTACATGCGTTCCGACTGCGATAAAATGCAAGAATACATGCGTCACACAACTCATGAGTTGAGTGCTGGCGTACTAGCTGGTGTGATTTGTGCCAGCTTTGCGTTTTTATTGGCCGTATCAGCTTTTATTCTCTGGAGGTAAGTACAAGGGGCTTAATTAATCAGTTCCCCTTTGATTTAATTAGCGCGCATCCTGTTTATTTCAGAAAATGCTTTCGCGTCTCTTACTATTATTTGGACGACCCCCCTTGTTCGGTTCCAACGGCTTCGCTGGACTGGAATGCGCCCCCTGACGGGAACAGTGAGCATAAAGGAGCCATCCCGGTGCACCTCTTCCCTAAACACGTCGCCGAGCTGCATGCTGATGGGGATATCGGGTTTAGTAAAGAGTATGAGGCTATTCAAGCTGAGGCCACGACTGATGAACACACTTCGGAACATTCACAGCATCCCGACAATCGTGTTAAAAATAGATATCTCAACATAATTGCTTGTTAGTTGGGCGATTTGAGTCGGTTGTGGTCTGAGATTGCTTTTTCCAGATGATCATAGTAGAGTTCAACTGCTCCAAATGCCAGGACAGAAGAAAAATATCGATTATATTAATGCCAATTATATTGATGGGTTTCAATGGTCCAAAGCTTATATAGGCACGCAAGGGCCACTGCCATCGACGTTCGATTGTTTCTGGAGGATGGTGTGGGAGCAGAGAGTTAATATTATCGTTATGATAACTAATTTAGTGGAAAGGGGAAGAGTAAGTTATTGTTCTTTTCAAATTCCTTCAATTAGGTAGTGTAGTATTGATAATTTCGTTATTTTACTAGGATTCAATTAAATATCCATTCGTCATTGCGTCAGACCGGTTTGAGGTATTAGTGTGGTACCCTGATTGTACTAATGTCACTACTTACTAGATTAGATGTTTTATCTTAATTATACACTTTTAATTAACACAGTTTTAGTTGTATGTAGCATTATAATAATTTTGCGAATATTTCAGAGAAAATGTGATATGTATTGGCCCAAAGAAGGAACAGAAACATATGGTGTTATCCAAGTTAAGCTAGTCAAAGAAGACATTATGGCAACTTATACAGTGAGAACGTTGCAAATTAAACATCTTAGGGTAAGCCAGTTGAATTGTGTAACACATTTGAAACTTTCTCTTCATCAGATTAAGAAAAAGAAAGCAGCAATGGCAGAGAAGTTAGTGTATCAGTATCACTATACTAATTGGCCTGACCATGGCACACCGGATCATCCACTCCCAGTGTTACATTTTGTTAAAAAATCAGCAGCAGCCAATCCTCCAGATGCAGGACCAATTATAGTTCATTGCAGGTATGTTTAAAAAAATGTTAGTGGCTAAAAGATAATTTTGTTGTTACAGTGCTGGTGTTGGTAGAACTGGCACTTATATAGTTCTAGACGCAATGCTCAGACAGATTCGTAGTCGGGGTGAAGTGAATATTTTCGGTTTCTTGCGCCACATCCGTTCCCAAAGAAATTTCTTGGTACAGACTGAAGAACAGTACATATTTATCCACGATGCCCTAGTTGAGGCAATTGAATCTGGAGAAACGAATATAAGCCGCGAGCAATTCCCTCGTTATGTTCAAATGCTACAGAATTTAAACTCTGAAGAAAAAAGTCAGTTGTGGAAACCAATTGACGTTCAGTTTAAAGTAAGTATATGTACGCGAGTGGCAGTGTCACATCCTTTAATTTTTTCTCCAGTTAGTCACGAGTTTTCAATGTAAAGACTTCAATCTTGTTTCGGCAAATAAAGTGATAAATCAGCCAAAGAATAGGACTGCAAATATTTTGCCTGTGGAAAGTTCCCGTGTACATTTAACTCCGAAACCGGGCGAAGATGGTTCTGATTACGTCAATGCTACTTGGATGCAAGGGTTCCACAGTTTACGTGAATTCATAATAACGCAACATCCACTCAAAACTACAATTAAGGACTTTTGGCAAATGGTCTGGGACCATAACGCACAAACCATTGTGATGCTTAGCATTATTGATAATCAAGAATTTGAGGTGTTTTGGCCTATGGATCAAGAAACAGTCGATGCAGAAAGCTATAAAGTTAAATTAGTTAACGAACAAGCACAATCGACTTACGTTACAAGAGACTTTACAATGCAATCGCTTCAAGACGATTATGAAATACCTGTCAAGATGATTCATTGTACTAATTGGCCACATCACTGCTGCAGTATTGCCGAGATTTATCATCTACCAAATACAGTTTTGGATATGGGGATCCAGAATGGACCTATTGTCGTAGTTGACAGGTAATACAAATTCTCAAAAACTATTTTTACAATTTATGTAATTACTGGTTGATGTACGAATTGGGCTTTTTGTGTGTATTGAATAATATTTGTTGTTTAGGTTTGGTGGTACCGAGGCGGCGTCTTTTTGCGTATTAACAACGTTGAAGAAACATTTGATGTACGATAATCACGTGGACGTGTACATGTACGCGAAATTGTATCACAATAAAAGGCCTGGGATCTGGGGTTCCTGTGATGATTATTTGAGGCTCCATTTAGCAGTTCAAACGTTATGTAGTCCGCCAGAGGGCACGCCCGACTTGTACGCAATGACAAATGGGGCGTTGAATGGATCTTTGTCAAATGACTGTGTGAGAGTACCTCCTGAAGGTATGGAAGCAGTGGGGCCACGGCTCACCGTTGCTTAAATTTGCAGTTATTGTGTAAATATATGTGATTATCGTAATTGTTATTATGTCCATATTTGTGCCACTGGTGGCAGGTGTAACTGAAAATCATGACTAAAACGTACTTCTCTTATCAAGCTCAATCATTTTTTTTTTATATTTAATATAGGTTTTTTGAAGTAATGAGAGAGAAGTATGTATTGATGATCCCAATGTTACTTGCAGACTTACTGTCATTCACGTATCATCCTCAGTGTAAGTCAATAGCATCACATAGTTATGTTTGTTAGACTGATCAAAGTAGGTATAGATATGTATTATGCCGTTAAGATCAACTCTAAATTTCATGTTGGACATCATAGTTAGTCATTACCAATCTGTAGTGCCACGCTTAGCTTGCTATTGTCTCACTGTGCAGTTTCCTTTCTTATCGATTTTTGTTTAACATTTAAATGGATCTTTGTTTACTTACAGAAGCTCCTCTAATATCCCAGGATGTTATGAAGTGTAACTGATAATGATTTCACTTGAGTTCGCACTTTTGCATATTTTTGTTATTGTAAGTGGACAATAGTGCTTCAAAAGGAAAGGGTACTAAGTTCTCAGTTGATGTTGATAGAGCCAAGTGAAATAATGTGATGCACTATACCGACTATTCGTTTATTACAATTATTTGCCTCCAATAGACTCAAGATGTATAAAAATGTAGTTAAGTGTAAAAAGATATGCGTGAACATGAATCAGATATTTATATAATATGTGCAGTGTAGAATAATTCAGTATTTATGTAAGTGTATAGACTTAGTTTTTGTATGATATTGATTTGTAAGAAGAGTACATCGATCATGTAAAACATTTTGACTTGTTCTGGACCAATTTAGTGATTAAATATAAATTCTCAAGGTCCTTCAAGACATGACTGCTCACAACGTCTTGCAAGGTGTCTACTGACATTGGCATGGCTCTTCTCATTTTATACTGTAGCAACGGCTTATTGAATAGAATAGTATCCGTCCACCAGGCGATGTGTCACTCAACCCAACTCACTAGACACCTTTCAAGTCGTTATATCATGTCCAAAACATATACATATATATATTTTGGATGGCGCATTCTTATTAGGAACTGTTCAATTTTAATTAAATTTCAACTTGTTGAAATTTACTTGGTTTTACTATTTTTAAATTATATTATTTTTTCTAATTACGCGACAAGTTGATATTTAATTGTATGCGAGATTATTAAGGAGTGTCAATATACCATCATTTTTAAAGCAAATTTATTTTATTTTAACTGCATTGAATCTTTATAATATTTGTGATGATCAAACTGTAGTACTCTTTAAAAAAACGTTTTTCATCACCTTGTGTATGTTGCATTATATTTGTGTTAAATAAAAGAAATT